ATACCATAAATAAACGGGCAATAAACAACCCAGAAGTGCGCCCCATATTCAAACCCAAGGCACCACAAGGCTAAAACATACTGAAAAGAAATGAGTATAATAGGGCTCTAGAGAGGGTTGGGAGAAGTGGGAGAAAGACATCAGGAGCGGGAAGCAAACGGAAATTGCTAGCATCCGTACCAGACAACAAGATAATGACCGAAACCGACTGCTCTTCAAATCAGACGTGGCCTGCAGCTCAGTTGCGTCTTGCACACAACACGGCTTCTGGAGCCATCCCATAAAGCATATTTAGGCCCCCATTATCGTGCCTAATATAATGACGGTTTCCTGTGACTCCAACCTATGAGGGGTGGGCGTCAAAGAGTCTAGGCAGGTGTCCGGAAGTTCTTCGTCGCTGTCGGAAACAGGCACAACCGAAGGCTTACCATGTTTAAGCTTGCCGATTTCCCAGATTCCTGTCTTCTTCTCTGTCCCAAATGTCAAATGTTGTTGAGACGGCTGCCCTGGCCCCAGCGGTTGAACGGCATAAAACTCACACTCGTAACTATGCGGGAAGTCAAAGCCTACAGCCTCAAGACATTCTCTAACACAAGCGGGGGTCGATGCCGCTCCCATTACAGTGAATGCAACCATTACAACTCTCCGCTGGGTCCAGGGTTCAGTGCAGTGCAGCAGCGTCTTCCCGGTGAATCGTAGTGGTTTAAAGGGAGATAGTTCACACCGGAAACCTCTAACTTGGGCCCCGTAGTATTCTTTAACGACGTCTCCCTTGGGTGACTCAATCCAGATAGATCCGCCTTCAAAGTGGCTGAGGCTCAGCACTACTTGGGGGTAACGTGAGTTCCTCAAGTCCCTGTGCAAATCTTTACCCGCAGAATCCCTTATTACTACTGTGGAAAACTTATGCCCTGGGCATGTAAGGTTTAAGTAAGAGCAAACCTGGGCGCAAAGGTGTTGAAGGGGTGCGGTGGCCACGCACATCTTACTCAGATCCCGAGGATTGAGCCCCACCTGCAATACCCAACCTTCACCCTCTGCTTGTTTCCACTTCGCAGGACACTTATCGAAGGATTGCAATACCTGTTCCCTTAAACTGTCAAGCGAGGAAGGCAGAGAGGACTCGCCACTACAATCCGAAATCGCATGTGCAATCTTGACGAAGCAGCGAAGCAGATTGATTCATCTTTTTCGATGACATCGCAAGATGTAGTAAGCTTGAGTCCAAAGCCGATCTGTCATATAACGGACTCATACATTCCAGAATAGGATGCGTCATAAGCCTTGGCATTTGCCGTGGCGGCGACATCCCGGCCATCGCGCTTCATGAAATCCTGAATTGAGCCCATCAAAGAGGCATTCATCAATCCTCGAAAGACGAGCCAACCATCATTCTGCAGAATCGAAGTGTTCTGCAGCTGGGCTTCAGTGATGAAGCCGTAGCCGTTGACATTCTGGAGCTGAAAATTTGGTGAGATTGCCACAGCCTCCGACGTTAGCTCTGGAGACATGTCAGTGTGCGACCGGAGATAGGCGTCGGCGAAGTTGACGGAGGCAACCAGGTCCTCTTGCGGCAGGACCTTCTTCATCAAGATAGAGGCATCGGCGGAAAAGACGAACCTGTTGTAGAAAATGGCTCGAATCCCATGGCGGGTAGCCTCGGACTTGATGAAAGAATCCACAGTGCTGCGAATCTGCGGCACTGAGAAAACACCAAGGTTAAACCCTTCGACCGTGGAGAGAGATGCGAAGAGCTCGGTGAAGCCGTAGCCATTGAAGCACTGCTCGATCAACGCAGTCTGTCCGCTGGTAGCGGACGCATCATAAAACTGGCGAAACGGCTCGAAGAGCATAGCGACCCCGGGATCTTCAGCGCCATAGTGCAGTCCTTGAAGGAACTGAACAGTGACGTCGAATTCCATACCCTCAGCCCAGCAAACAAGCATGCTGAGAAGCACGCAGGGCATGAGAGCGAGTCGAAGTTGCTCTGGAGTGTAGACTGCCAGTAAGGAGCTTCTTCCGACGAACGCCTGGTCCGTGAAAGGAACTCCCGGGCTGGGGTCGCCAGGCTGGGACTTGAACATCGGCCCAGCGGTGGCAACCATCTCATCATCAGCAAGCTTGACGGAGCCAATCTGCCGGAGGAGGAATGCATTGATGTTCGTCACGAACACATTCTCACGTATGACCTCACAGGCAGCATATGTGGCGCCATCAATCACCTGCTGAACTGGCAGCCCCAAAAATCAAACTCATGTCACCCTCCTTCATCCAGAACGACAAGGAGATCTGGTAAGCGGAGAGGTCCATGATGAGAAGAATGAAGGGCGAGATGTGGAGCTGCTCATACTTCTGAGCGCCGTTGATTGCACCTCGCAAACGATTACCCGCATTCACCACATTCGGGAATTGCGACACCCAAATGACGCGGCGCCCAGCATCCTTGTACAAGGGAACCTGGAACGACTTGTCAACGGCAGGCATCGCTGTAACCCTCATGGAAGATGGGGTAGGATCGACCTTCGGCTTCTTCGAAGGCGGAACGGCCTGGGGCTTCGGAAGAGCCTCAGCCTTCGCCTTCTGCGTTGGAGGCCGGCGCATGTTGTTGAAGCCAGTAGCGCCCTTGCCTCTTCCTTTGCCCTTCTTTGGTACCGCAGGAGTGTCAGCCGGTGGATCCTCGGCGGGTGGCCCATCCTTCGGCACAGCTTTCGGAGGTGGCGGTGGAGTCGCCATCACGAAAAGCTAAGGGCGATGAAATCAGTGGCTGATGCTTTGAGCAAAATGCTCAAAGAAGACGGATTTCATTAAGGAAAACGCACGGAAACAAAACGTCACGCCAAAGCAATGACGGTTTGTTTTCCGAAGTTGAGGGTTTAGGGTTTCGACTCACACACTCGCAAAGCAGGCATGGCAATAAGTGTCCGAGGTTGCTACGTGGACATGCTGGGCCATGTTGACAGGGGGGCATATTCACGATCGTCCAAAGCATGAACGAACATGACGCAACAGAGTACAGAGTAAAAGGCACAAAGATATATTATAAAGTGAGTATAAATAACGGATGTTGCCCTCACTGCCAGTGGCCATGCAGTCCTAGTCCCATCCGTGGCGTTGCGCCACTCTGTTTCAAAAGATCTAGCACTCTGTAACCCACTTACTCGACGGTCATTATGCCACCGAGTAGGTCGGAGAAAGGACGCTCCACTTCACATTCACCACATGCAGGCAGGGATTCGTCGTGGTGTCTTCGTGTGGTCACTCTCATGCAGGCAGGAATTCGTCGTGGTGTCTTTGTGCGGTCACTGTCATGCAATCTTCGTCATGCAGTACTTGTTCATGGCAAAATGCCGTTTGTTCTCATTCATGAATTCTTGTCATCGTCTTCATGGATGCGGCTCGCGAATGCAATAGCATGCAGGTCTTCAGTTGTCCAGAGTCCGCTGTGCTCCGCAACGACTCGTATGAAATTCCTCAAATTCACAGGTGCTCCCAACACATGCAGTACCATATCTTTGACATCTCGGAAGCCATGCAGTCAACCCATGCAGTTTGTTCAGCAAATTCATAAATTCTTGCGAATTCATGAATATTGCCAATCATGCAGGAGCATGAGCGTTAATACGCATGCGGTCAGGCAGAGTGGGATGTATATTGACATCATCCCCCGAGCAGTCATATGTAATGCTGCCACAGTGATCGCCCACACTGGTCACCACGCATGCAGATCATCGTCCACATGTCCAGGGGCACTTCGCGTGCGATACCTGTACTCAAGCGGGACCCGTCATCACAAGCAGCTCCTCCATGTTGCTGTCACTGCGCAGCTCCTCCATGTTGCTGTCACTGCTGTCACAAGGTGCGTCACAAGGCGCGTTGGACAGTCTTCCATGGCTCAGCGGGCAGAAGGAAGGGTTAAGGTGGGAAGGGTACTCACAAGATCGACAATGTTACGGACCAAAGGACTCCCCTTAGCCAGCAGCAGGCAAGCAGAAGACCCCAGAGGAAGGCACAAGGCTACAGCGTAAGGGCGCAGCCCGTACCTATTCCGAGCTGACACCAACGTGTGGGTACCTGCCACCTCAGTCAGGTTCGGTTGCTTGATGGCTGCATGCACATGACCTTCCTCATGTTCAACCTAACGAAAGGCAACGACTGACTGACACACTGCACAACGCAGTCAAGACTCCTGAATGTGTGCAGCGCTGACTGTGTTCCTATATCATCAGATAAGCATGATGACAATGGAGGGGGAGGGGCTGTTGTCGAGGCAAGGCTCTCGATTAACCACTCATGACGCTGCAGAACGCTACCACCGTGTCCGCACTCACAGCGCTTCTTTAATCGGACAGTGTCTGAGTCCATCTGCCAGTCTTCCAGTCCGGGATGCAGCAAAAGTCGATATAGTACATACGGGATGCAGCAAAAGTCGATATGGTACATACGGCGATGTCGTGTTGTGTGCTCGTTGTGCACCGTGTGTCGAATTGGAGCGAGTGGCCTCCTATTGACAACGCAAATAATAATAACAATTAACACTGTAGGGAGCCACCGCATTCCTCATCATGCACATATGTATTCATGAATTACTGTGGCAGCACAGAACATGCAGTGGTTCACAATTCGAAATGCATAGCGTGGGGATGCACATGCATATAAATTCATGAATGTTCATGCCTACGAATTCACAAGCTGGAATTTGCTCATGCATGGGAACCTGCCGTGTGCCCAGCTGCACGACCAAAACAGATATAACATATGAATGCAGGAACAACACAGCTGTCAAACACCACCTCCGGGCATGCGCAGATGCTCCCGCGGCTTCAGTGCGCTGCTGCAAAACAAATTCAATCATGCATCTCAAATGCAGTCATGCAGTGCACGTGCAATCGCCGTACATCATCCCGTGTGAATTAAGAGAAAAAGGCTACATGCGGGGGCCTAGAGGCGAGTGACCGAATCTAACTCACAAAGTCAAACCTAATTAAGACCACACTACACACTCAGCGTCTGCTCCCGAATGCATGCATGTATGGGTTTGCCGGCGGCCCGATGATATCATCTTCGGGCGCCAGCACTTCACGCCCCGAGGCCAAAATGACCCTGGCAAACTGTCCTCCACCCGTTACAGGTGCTGGCGGTATGCGGGACGCCAGGTTGATGACACTCGGCTGTCCTACTGCCTGTGGCCCCTGTACAGGGTCAACGCGGATCTCAGCAGGCCGTGTGTTCGTCCCGCTCACTGTGTCTCGCAATTCACGAAGCGCGTCCACCAGCTCATTGACTTGTCCACGCAGTTCTGCAACGTGGGTCTGCATGTTCCTGGTGATGTCCACCGCCTCCGTGACTCCTGTGGAGTCCTTGGGAGGTCCGCCGATCGCTGACCCCATGGTGGTGACCTCCTGTTGCAGTCCATCAATGGACTTGCTGTTGGTGCGGAGGCACCCATTGATGTCACGGCCTGTCTGTCCAAGCTCCCCCAGGAGCCTGTTGGAGTCCCCTTGAAGGGATGTCAGCTTCTCCCGCAGCATGCTCTCCACCCTGTCCGAGCTGGTGGCAAGCTTGCCACAAGCTGTCTCAACTTTGCCCAGCGCCGAGTCAAGTGAGTCCAAACTCTCCTTAACCCGATCCAGGAAGCCGTCGATATCGAGGTGGGTCTTATTGTGCTCACCAAGAGCCTTACTGAAAGTGCTGTTGAGGAAGTCGAGCTTGGCGTTGATCTCGGTGTTCATGAGGTCAAGCCTGCCCTTTATCGTTGCCTCGACCGCCTCTGTTCTCGACTTAGTAGCGTTGTCCAAAGTCTGAAAGCGGTTCTGCTCCGTAGTGTTGGCCGTTGCGAACGCCTTGCCAAGTGCTGCGTTCGTCGCCTCCAACTCTGTAAGGAGGGCCTTGTGACTCACCGCAGAGGTGATCTCACTCTTGAACTTGAGAAGCACGGTCTCCACAGCCACCTGGTGGTCACTGAATGCTTTTTTTCAGCTTATCAAACGGCTGGAGCAGCGCCAGCTTGGATGTCAGAGAGTGTATCCACTGCAAGCACAGCAGTGGTTGTGCCGTCTGTGCCGTCTTGTCCTCCATCCGTTGCTTGCTGGCGGTTGGAAGCCTGGATGGCCGCGCTGAGAGCATCAAATCTCCCTTGCAGCATTTGCTCCAACACGTCAGGTAGCACCTCACCAAGCGCAGCCACTAGCTGGTTTTTGAGCCCATCATCCTGCTGTACCGGCTGCGCCGTTGGTAGTGTCAATGTGACGTCCGTTGTAGCGGGAGGGCTCGGGGTTGCTGCAGTTGGCTTCTTGGACCAAGAGCGGGTAGCAACTAGGCCATACACATACATACACATCATCATGGCAACTGCTGCCCCACCCCATCGTAGAGGCCCACTGTACTGCTCAGCCACCATGTAGAGTGACAGAAGCGCCTGCGTCCCTGCATCATCAAGCTGCTGAGGGGCTGCCATGTATTTTAATAGGCGAGGCACGGCTTCTAGCTTTCAAGGGGTTTGTGAGGGCCAGCAATCACGTACTGCGGTGCGCGGCAGAATGTTGAAGTATCAGACCCTACTGTCAGAGTGACCATGCATTATTCATGGAGGGCCTGACTCTACGAAACCGACACATACCCGGAGATAAGAGAAAAAGGTAACAACAATAAATATCGATAAGGATAGTACGAAACTCAGCAGCGAAATAAGCCTTGTCCCTGCATTGGTAAATGCTGTACTCTTGCGGCCTGGTCGAATTGACACGCCTGCTTATAAGGCTTTAGCAAACGTGCGGCAGCCTCGATTCAGCATGGTATGTTACACACCTCTTCCGAATCGGGCGTCTGTAAAAGCGGAAAAAGACACGCCTCCCTCGTGCTCCACATGCAGGACAAATTCACGAATCAGCCCCGAAAATCTAAATAAAAATATATAACAAGCCCCCAAGCACACATACAAGGCTAAAGACTCACACAGACCCTCAACACCCATCTCACCACCTGACGGACCACGACATGCAGGACAATGCACATGCAACATGCAAATCATGCAGCATCAAATTCATCACGAGGCGGATACTCACATTCATCCATGCACTGTACACCCTGTTGGGGAGGGAGATGCGCACACATCGCCAAACTACACTCCTCATGCATCTGATACCTCAAGTACATCGTCTTCGGACTCACTGTCTGATGAAAGACAAATGGTCAGGAGGCCAGCAGGGACATTGAGGCTCCCGGTGGGCCAGACCAAATTCTTCGAGATCACAGGGGCAGGGGCAGGGGCATGACCGACGAAGCCAAAGTCCCTCAGCGCCTTTTGTATCTCGCCCTGCCCCCCCCCTTTCCCTTGCCCCATACCGACAGTTTACCACGTGATTCAGACTCCTGACTTGGCCAGATGTAGCCCATGTTCTTAAGGAGTTGAAAGTCCTCCCCACATAGGGCTGTCCAGCCTGCCAGAACCCAACCGATGAGCAGCACTCTATCTTCGACATGTGGCACGTTGGCGTGCCAAAGTTGCCTGGCACTGACTCGGTACTTGCGTCCATGTAACACACGTCCTGGGCGAATTTTATCATCCGGGCATTTCATCCAAACCGTGCCCCGCTCGTCCTCCACCCAGGTACCCCCAGGGGCCCCCGGTGAGAGATTGCAGAGAAGGGAAGGCAGGAAGGTGTTCTGGCTGTCCTTGTGAGGCTGTGTCATGAAGCTCTTCTGGAGTCTAATAGTCAGAAAACTGTCCCCGGGGAACTCTTCGGCAAGAAAGCGTGCCAAGAGTCTACACGTCGCCGGATATTTGGTGGTATGAGGCGCCGCACGTGAAGAAGGCCGAACTGACTTCCTCCAGCATGGCTTCTGCCACCCGCAGAACATCAGAGATGTCCAGCTCCGTTCGTTCGAGTAGTCGTTCAGACATGCTCTCAACCTCCATCGTAAGGGGTTAGCTAATCGTCGGATCCTAGGGATGCACTTGGGCCACGTTCCTACGGCATCAGACTATTGGTTCCTTATAACTTGCATGGCATCAGCAAGCTCCTGTGCCCCGTTGCAGAAAAAGGCAATGTTGTAGTCAAGAGTGCGAACTAAGTACTTGGTATGATGGTCCACAAGCGTGACCATGCGGTACTGAGCGAGCCACGGCGAGTGATCCTTAAAGGCTGGGGGCATGAAAAGACAGTCCCCGCCCTGACGATCCAACAAGTTGAGCGCCTCAGTGACTTCTGCAAGTAGAACAAGAGGCACCTGCCTATGAAACACTGTCCTTTGAAGCAGTCCTGCTTCGAGAAATACCTTAGTGTTGACTCCCCAATGAGACAAGACTCCATGGACTTTAAGTGCAAGTCGAAGGACTGTTGCAGACATCGCCTGCATCGTGCCATCATGTGCGCGTGTGTGTACGACAAACATTCGTTTAGGGTTGGTGCTGAGCGAGACGATGACTGCACAACGTCCATTCTCGGCTTTACCCCAAACAAAGAAGCACGGCATTTTTGCCTGCTTAACGACCATGAGGGGCGACATGTAGGGCACCTCAGTGAAGTCCTTAGAGGGTCGGAGGAAGCAGTCCAAAATGCCCTTAGTTCCCCTAAGGACGATGACTTGTCGCTCTTGTAGGTACTCGAAGGTGGGGGCTGCATCCTCGTCAACCCAGTGCCTAACCCACCATTGAAAGTGATTAGCCCACTGTGTCCGGTCCTGTGCAAAGGTTTCCCATGCCGGGATGGCCGTAGCCCATGGCCACGTCTGGTATATTCTCTGGACTCTGTAAATGAGCAAGTCGGCCAGCCACGATCGGCGGGGGCTGGCCCTCCTGCTGGCCTGCATGTTCCACATGCACGCAATATTCTCATCATGGGCTGCTGGTGCGCAGTTCTAGCGAGATGGCCAAGATAAGACCACTGTCTGGTCATCCAGGTCCTGCGCCAGTCTGGTCCTTTGTTTTCCCTACAAATGACCTTAACTGCTCTCCTACGTGTAACTGTGTTTTCAACCCACGTCATGAGGGGGTCCGTGGGCAAGCGAAACAGAGACAACAAGAACATGTTTTTAGCTGCTTCCAATCTACGTAGTGCCTTCTTATTTGGCATGAGCAGTGGTGCTGCCCATGCCCATTTGGATGTAATGAGTGTGTCAAAAATATGCAGCCGCGTGGCAACAGGCGCTTGCCCCGCATCCATGATGCGCTTAAAGCCATAGTAGGCATTGCTCGTCTTTCGAAGAAGGTGTGTAATGATAAGGTGGGGACTTGGGGAGTGGTACAGCGGCACACCCAAAAAGACCAAAACATCCTCAACCAGGAGAGGAACTCCACGGCCTCTAAGAAAGACCCCGGGGCAACACCCATCATGAGACATCATTACTCTGCTCTTGTCTGGATTGACTTCCAAGCCGATGGTGGCCAGTACATCCAGGATTTGCTGCAATTTGGATTGCAGCGCCTCGGGCTTGTCCGCAAAAACAACAATATCGTCAGCATAGATAATGAAGTGCGGAAGAGCCAAACTGTGCAGATCCCAGTCTCCTACCTGCTCAGAGAACAGAGAGTGTAGTGGAGCTAAGAAGTGATCCATGACCCTACTGAATACATCTGCCGAATATGCGGTTCCCTGCATAAGGCCTCTGTTCAAATCCACCCTATGTGTTTCTCCACCAAGAGACAACTCAACAGCCGTCCCTTGTAGGAGTTGGAACAATCTCTCACATTCCAAACTGGGCTTGCGACACATCAACCATCTGAAAACTGCTGACTGGCTGAGGCTGTCAAATGCAGCCCGAACGTCGACCTTAGCGACGAAGGCCCTGCCCTTGGTTTGTTTGAGCAATTGGAGTGTCGACTGAGCCGCAAGGATACCGTCGGCTGCCTGAACTCCAGGCCGACATCCGATTTGATGTCCTGAGTACGGTGGCGCCTGTTTGTGTACACGTGCCATCAAAACCTTGGAAAAGACGCGGCATAGGACCGGAGTCAGGCATATGGGCCTCAACTCCTTAGGTTGTGATGGCCTCGGCACCTTAGCCAGCAGCACGATGCGCCCTTTCTTCCAAGAAGGAGGGAGGGGCTGACTCCCTTGCAATAGGGAAGTAAAAAAGTGGGGGATGCGAGAGTGCTTGTCCTGTTGCAGAACGTATCGGATGCCCTCATACGTCGTGCCATCCAGACCAGCACTGACACCATTGCGGGTGCCCACCAGCGACTTTAGGATTTCTTCCTTAGTTACTGGCACCACCCCCTGCG